CTGAAAGGTCAATGCTCAATGTGAATGCATCCGGATGTTGTACTCGTCGATGAGGCTTACTTCTCGCCTGTGCCCTCACACACTGTGCACAATCCCGACGTGCAGGTAGATGGTCATTGAGATAGTGCCGACGCCATTGTTCAAGCGCCACTGGTCCCAATGCTTTCACCCTTGAAGGTCGTTGAGATTGATCATCTCGACTTTGATGAGATGTTGGGACATTGTCTTGTGGACTTTCCGTCCTGTTTTCAAGTGATCGCATTGTATGAGGTTCAAACGATTGCACTGAAATTTGATCATTATGTTGTCCTGGGCCATTTTTCAACTGTTGTACTGAAGCATGTTCGGCCCTTCGCGGTGAGTGCACAGCACCCCGCTCACATACTGACTTTTCACAGTCCAGCATTTGTAGATGTTGTTTGATGGCTGTGGCCAACGCAAGTTTCAAACCAGGTGCCCAGCTAGCCCATCGCTTTGAAGCTTCAATTCGTTGTTGAAGTGGTTGATCTGCATGGGTTGCAGCTGGCTGACTTGGTTCTCCACGTAGCCCATCAAGTTGAAGAAGCACTTCCATTGACGTTCCCAAGGTTGTGGGCTTTCGTCGCTCATGACCCATAGGCCCTTGGTCGAAGTGCAGCATATGGAGGTTGTACTTCTTCTGAAAGTCCCTCCATTCTTTTGTCCGAAAAATGGAGATGTAGCCATGTGCAGCAACATCTTCAGCACTGCGATACCGCGCTGGATCTTCAGGCTGCTCGAGGATGAACTGCGTCACAGGATCGTTGAGCCGTCGCACATCCTCAGCCACGACATACAGTGACAAGTACCTGAAGAGGAGCACCACATCGTTCATGACCAGCTCTGCCTCGGTTGTGGAAAGGTCAGGCACACCATAGGGCCATTCTTCGTTTCGCACCACACGTGGTCCTCCATCTTGTTGAAACCGAAGTGCTGATACCGTTCTGCATGGTGGTCCTCCCAAAATGGCGCGAACACGCCCACTTGCTGCTAACTGCAACAAATATCCATAGACGTTGCGATCCATCAGATCCGCTTTGCAGCCACCAAGCAAATCCACACAGATCACCTCTGTGGTTGCAGTAGAAAGTTGGTTTTCCCAAAACTTTGGATTGTCACCTGCAAAGACGTGGATCACAATGTTGGATGCCCTTGCCAAACGCCTTCTCTTTCGACGATTCCATGGCAATCGTGCTCCAAAATCTTCCAATTGCAAGGGATCAAGGTTCGGAACCAACTTCATCATCACTTCGTCAGGAAGGTCTGGAAAAAGTTCACGAAGTTTGGCTGTAAGGGACAGTTCCAGATCCATCTGAGTTTTGTCCAACGCGTCAGGGTCTGTGAGCAAAGTCTTGACCATTGCCAGCTTCTTCAATTGGTGCACATGGAACAACTCCAGCCACTCAAGAAGACGGCAGCCGTCATCACGGCTAATCATAGGACACCCGTTGCGGATCGTCACCTGGATCTCTCTGCCTGCATCATCATGGAGCCTGCAGACACCACCACGCCACTCCAGTGAAAAGTCAAGGTCTGACAGACCTCCCATAGGGATGATGTAGGATGCCTGTGTTGTTGAAGAAGGATCCGACAGGAGAATCTTCGTCCGTCTCTTGAGGCGAAACATCTCAGTGACACCGTCAGCAAGCTGGACTGACGTTGGCAGTGCATTTTGCCACTCTTCAGCATCCCGTGCTGGTCGAAGCCCATGTGTAGCTCCACTGTCAAGCAGCACAAAGTCATCATCAGGTTGATCAACACCAGACAACTGCATGACCTTGAGCTTTGGGTTGGCATCCACTCGAAGGGTCTTGAGCAACTGAGTGGCTTCATGCAGTAACTCTGCAGTCTTGCTGTCACCACCTGAGCTTTTTTCGCTCCCCCCACCACAGCCTCCATCTTTTTCTCCACTGGTAGTAGAGCTTGTGATCTCTGGTTGTCCACCTCCTCCATCAACCGTTGCCATTGAGGTAGCGTCATCAGAGTTCTTTGCAACTTTCATCGCCGCTGCACCAGCTTTGCCACCAGTTGCATGCGCATTTGAAGCAAAAGTGGAAGAAGTTGTAGAAGGGTCTGATCCACCTCCTTTACCACGTCCTCCCCCTGGGCCAGCACCTGGCTCACCCTGTTTTTTGCCGGCTGTTCTGAGCTTGCACTCGTTCTTCCGATGATCTTTGCCACCACAAATCCAACATCGTGAAGACCGATCTTCCACGCCTTCCCAAGAGTGCAGCCATCGGCAACTTTTGCCAGCTTTGCATCCCGTGTCTGAGATGAAGTACTTGCAGGGCTTGTCCATCATGCCAGCTTTGGCCTTGTCACCAGGTGAAGTTGTAGTAGAGGAAGGTTTTGCATCCCCTTGCATTTGCTTCAGCTTCAAAGGAGTTTGTGGAGATGCCGTTGAAGGTGCAGTCTGAAGTAGTGTCAGCGTTTCAGCCTCAGCCAGGAGACACTGACTGAAGGACCAAAGACTGCGATGATCTGGACGTTCATCCAATTGTAGCTGCATCCGGCTCTGAGACAATCTGAAGGCTGCTTGTTGGTCCATCGGTCAGGCAAGACCGCCTGGACTTCCTCAGCTCTTCCAAAATGTCGACGCCAGTTGCGAATGGCTGCAGCCACCTCCTGGATGTTTGATGCCTTCGGCATGCTTGTCAATTGTTTCAGCAGGATTTGTTTTTCACCTGCCCCACCTGGTTGAAATCTCACCATGAGCTTGTATAAGATCGCCGTAGAGCTCAAAGCACGATCTGTGACGAGCTCCTGTTGTTCAGCAGATGGGATCGCCTTCAGCAACATCTGCACTCCCCTCTGCTCTGTGCGCTGGAATTTGCGCTCAGCCAAGTCCTCCGGCAGCCTGGGGCGGATCTGAATCCTTTGAAGTGGGGTGCTGCCTCGCCACTGGTCATAGTAGCACTTGGCCTCCCGCAAAGTTGACTCCCACCACCAATCGGCGACCTGCGACAAGTCTTTCATGACCGGCGTGCTGAGGTGAAGCCAGTCTCCAAATTGCAGTGGACTTGAATTCTCCGGCAATTCTGGGAGCTCCAACTTTGAAATGGAACCTCCCTCAGTCCACGGACCATAGAGTCGGTCCTGTCCTTCGCCACATCCACCTCCCCCCACACCATGCCGCGGAAGGTCTGTGAAGCTTCCAGGACCTCGATCAAATAGCCCGTTGCTCGCCGTCGCATCAAAGCCATGCAAAGCCCGAGCTTGTTGTGATACTCCACCTCCAGGGCATTCTGTATGAGATCCAGTGCAAAAAGTGCCAGCCCGACCTTGATGACATTGTTCACCGCTTCCGCCAAGCGAGTGACCTGGATATACTTGATGCGCTGTGCTACCAATGCCAGCCCGATCATGAAGACCTCGTTCACCGCTTCTGCCAAGCAAGTGACCTTGATATACTTGATGCGCAGTGCTAGCCATGCCTGCCCGATCGTCATGAGCAGCTTCACCACTGCCACCAAGCAAATTCCCGCCTTGTTCACCGTGACGCATGCTAGAACTGCTAGCCCGACCTTGAAGATGGTGATCAGCAATGCCAGCACACGCAGAGCCGCCAGTGTCAGTGGCTGGAGGACCCGTCGCTGGATGAAAACCCTTTGACCAGTATTCACTAGACTTGAAGGGGTTCCCATCGGTCAACTTTGCCAATGACCCTCTCAAAGCGACAACCTCTTGTTCTAACCAAAACGCTCTAGCAGCCCTTGGTGACATCACTTCATTGGGTTCCCAAGACTGGTCGTTCTTCAAGATCTTGGGATTCTTCTCAACCTTTTCATAGCCATCCAAAAAGGTTTGCACATTTTCATCAATCAAAAAGGACTGTGGAAATGGTGGCACCTTTGGTCTTTCATGTTGAAGTTGAGGATCATGACATGGTGGTTCCCTCTTATCGCTATCAGGGGGCGTTCCATCTGGTACTCTAGTTCCGTTTGGAGTGCACCTGACTTCCTGCTTCCCCTGTTCAGGCTTTTGGGAACTTCTCGGAGTGTGATAACCCCCACGTGCATGAATCCCACCATCACCAGTTTTCGGAGGCTGACCAGCACATGCTGCTGTAGTCCCGCCTACTTCTGTCCATGACGATGTTGAGCTAGGCAAACTTTTCTGTTGCTGTTTCAACTTTTCAATCTCATCCATCAACATGGCATTCTGATTCCTCAGGTGATCCACTATTTCAGCTTCTAAGGCCCTTTGAAGATCGCTAGATGATTCATGTGCAACATCACCAGGCCCGTTCACGCGACCCATGGTTTTTCCCACCTCGTCCAGAGTAGCAGGCATGACTCCCTGAGATTGCACGCCCATCACCGGCGCCGCTGACAGAGGTTCCGACGACTTCAGGTTGCTGGGTGGCGTGAGGAAAACCCCTCGACCAGTGCCAATTGCTAAACCACGACCTTTCCCTGGTTTCACCCCAGTGGATCGTTCCAATTGACTCATGTGATCCCCCATTCCAGAAGCCATTGCGTCTGTTTCAACATTTCAACAACAGGTGTTGGTGGCAAATCTTTGGGTCGTGCAGCCCTTATTGCTATGCTCTCCTGGACCCCTTGGGAATAAAACGGATTCCCCACATTGGTCCCAACCACAGCTCCACTCGATCTCAAAGGCACCGATCGAGCTCGCTCCATTGGAACCCAAAACGCAAACTCACTGCGTTGGGCTCATAACCCTCATCGGCTAAACCGCCCTGTTTTCACTTGGTACAAAATGCCTTCAGTATGTAACATGGGGTATGAATCTGGTCAGACCCATAAATACTATACGAACTGATGGTATACCTACCCCCCTGAAAAATATGGAAGTCAGATTGGATCATCATCTCAACTATTGGGGAAAATACAATTCATATTCCAAACCACCAACCAGTATACTATAGTTACCCCCATGAAGCACAGTTAATCTATTCAGTTGGCAGTCAACTTAGCTATCCTTCAGGGGGCCTCAACTTTTCGAACTGGATGCCGGACCCCCCAGAACTTCCAGTAGGGCTGGATGCCGTGCAGGTACGCCTTGAAGGCCTCGGGCTGTGATTTCTCAAGCTCAGCGAAATATGTCACTTTTTCCGAAAATGCTCATTATCTCCGGAATCAACACCATAAACATCCATAAACCACCAATTTATATCCCATGACGGATCCATGGTGCTGCTATATATATGGTAACATGGATCCCATCAATATACCCCAGTCATGTTAGCATATATACCAGCACCATGGATCCTATGGGTATGGGGGTCCTAAAATAGTCATACCAATGGTATCCCAATTCGTCAGCTAGCTCTAAACTTGGCGAGAGACGCGTTCAAAGGCGATCACGAAGAGCAACGCAGCGGAACACAAAATGTAGATGATCCTCAGAGTTTCGGATGTTTTGCGGGGAAAAACATGGAAAAACATGGAACAACATGGAACAACATGGAAAAACACCCTGCTATTTCCGGAGATCTGAGAAAAATACTGTGACAAATCTCAGGAAAATCTGGGAAGATCAGAGAAACATCTGATTTTCCTCTATTCCATGAAAATCTATCGGAAAATCCCTGGATCTGGTGATTTTTCAGTGATACATAGTGATACTATCATTGCATTGTAAACCCAACTCACTACGTAACTGGGGCTTAAATCAGCCATGGCATAGTCCACTGAATGGACATTCTTCAACAACCAGGTCAGCAGGGTCAGTTCAGTTGGATCCAGTGGTGCTTCATGAAGATCATGGAGATATGGCACTCCTGAAGTCATCGATTGAATCTCTGATGGTTGAGGATTCCCAGTTCACAGGATAGATGATATCTATGTGGATATCTATTGTGGATATCTATGTGGATTATCATATTCCACAAAGATGAAAAATCATGAATAATCTATAATCATCTATATAATTCTGCTGTTTTATGAATACAGGATTCCCAGTTCTGATGAAGGCTTGTATAACCCTACAATCATCAAACAGCAGGGGTCTTTTTCACACTACTCAGCTGGCGATTCGGCTGTTTTTTTGGGGAACCACCAGGGATAATACCCTCTGGTAATGACTAACATAGCTATTGAAAATGGCCATTTATTTCCCATGAATAGCATGGTGATTTTCCATCGTTTTTTGTATGTTTACCAGGCCGGGTATCTCACATGCCAACGAATTTTTCAATGCCCACCCTTTTTTCAGGGTTTCCGAATTGGCAAAACTCGCCCGTTGTTGGACCCCGCGCAATTGTGCACTGGCGTAGATGTGCCTCGGATAACAACGCTGATTTTGTTCAGTTGGGGAGGCTGAAATCCCACCACTTTTCTATGGCAATTGAAAGAATTCTTTGCACACCACAAAAAAAGCGGTTGTAACAACTTTAACAAATGAGATGTGGCAGTATATTCTAAAATATTCTAAACATGACATGAAGATCTTATACCATCTGTACCTGTTCGGTCTCCTTGCATTTCCAATGACATTTTGTTGCTTGAACAATGGCGTTCATGGTTTCAAAGGCCCGGGGCCAAATATTTGGCGAACTGATTTCAGGTAAAAAGTCGTGAGCGGCGACAAGTGCTCGATCCAAAGCTTCGTTTTCATCATGTTCAATGCCTACCCTCTGGTAAACTAACATAGCTATGGAAAACCACCATTTTTAATGGGAAAACTCACTATAAGTTGCCATTTTCAATAGCTATGTTAAATTACCAGAGGGTAGTTTGGATTGTCAGATACCACTTTTTCGGGGTCAAACATGGTCAAAACCACCAAGTGCCAACTTCAAAGTCTTTGTTGTTTCCCATTATCCCAGAATGCAAATGCTATGTGAACAGTCATGTCCCCACGTTATGATTGATTATATGTATAGTATATAATTATATATGATCCCCATCCATCCCTATTTTTTGGGCAATATGATTGGTAAATTGTCGACCCATCACTGACCAGCGTTTTTTTTTGGTTGTCGGAGAGGTGCTTATCGTACCACACGTTGCAGGAGTCACATGTTCCATAGGCCTCAGCCGATCTCGCTCGAGTTGTCATCAAGGATGAGCCAGAACTCAAAGGGGGATGGGTCAAAACCTATGAAATTATACTATATGACTTGGGGAATAAACACCCATGAATCAGCCAATTTAGGGTAGGGTCCCGGGCTTTTGACACATAGCCATACCCATATTAGTAGAATAGCCAGGAAATGGCTATGCTATGTCCGTGAATTTCCGTGCATGATGTCGCCAAGATAAATTAGGTCACGGCTGGAAAAACTCCAGGAATATCTGCACCATGGTGCTAAGTAGTTTCTCGGATGATTGTTGCAGCATGTTCCATCGTTGCCCATTCCAAGCCATCTGCAGGAATAACGGCCAGACCCACTGCATCCAATGGCAATTTGTCACGTGCTATGGGGCATGCCAAACAACGACCTTGCTTTCAACCTACATCAGAACAGGACAAACCTTACATTTTATGGAAGGGATTCCGCAAGGGACCCAGGTCCATGGACGAGACTGACCATGCCGACGAGACTGACCATGCCACCTCACATGATTTTCTCCTTCGAATACTCAGGTCTCACTGTGGTGCCGGAAACATCCGGAAACCACATAGCGAGCAGTGGTCGCAGCATGTCGCAGCTGCACTCCCTGAATTTTTGGTTTCAAATCTGCAAAACCAAAAAAAACGTACCCTCTGGTTATTTAACATAGCCATGGAAAATCACCGTTTCTAATAGGTAAACCATCTATAAATGGGTCATTTTCCACGGCTATGTGAAATAACCAGAGGGTACAACACCTTTTCCAAGTTTCCAATGTCCAGCATCCCCAATTTCGCTGGAAAATCCCCGGGAGCCCCACGTGATAGCAGAGGGTCGGCATGGTGGGAGCCAGAACGCCCTTGAAGATGATCTCTCCAAAGGTGGTCACCAATAGAATGGCCACCCATGCCTGACAGGCCCAGCAGGTCAAGCAACTTCAGCCAGTGATAATCCAAGGTGTATATTGGATAGTACCAAAAAAAAACAGAAGCCTAAATGATAATCAACTAGCAGTGGTTGTTCAAAACCACTGCTCAAGTGGTGAAAACATCAAGGGACCAGTTTTTCACACAGGTTTTCACTGAGAAAAGAACGTTTGTTTTGGGTGTGCACCTGAATCTGGGGGATTTTTCACCCCATAAAAATGGCTATTTTGTATGATTTTCGCAGAGATGATACTTTTTTCACCACTGGATACAGACTGGGGTAGCCTATTTTCAGACAACGCCATAGACATATTGATACACATTGACATATTTTGCATCAGAAAAATCATGCGTGGAGATGTCGGGACTAGGGTCAACCATTGGGTATCTCCAACAGGCCTGCGGCACTGCTGCCAGGATATCTTTGGATCCTATGATAGCTAAAAGAAACAAACGGTAAATCTGGGTAATGTATAATATTTCACTAAGCTTTAATTGTTGGAGGAATTCCTAAAAACTAAGCATAGTAACCCAGTGTCACTATCATTTACCCGGATATATGATATATATATATATATATAATATATATATAATATATATCATATAATATATAATATATAATATATAATACATAATATATAATATATACTATTATATTATATACATTATTTATACTTATAAGGGTTTGCTCAACAACTGGGTATACCCAAAACTTATCGTGAAAGAAATCCAAAGATGTCCATGAAGAAATTAAGGATGATGTGATATTCTCTTTGGAATGGGAGCCCACCTCATTTTCAAACCAGCCCATTGTATATGTATATATATATGTGTATATAAGTTATATATATATATATTATATATATAAATGTAATGTGGGATTCACCCATTGCCATAAACCTACCATGACTGGCTGACTGGGTTGAAATTCCACCCATAAAAATGATGACTTGGGGATGGTGGCTATGGGTCAAAGAAGCAACCCTTAAGTTGTCAAGGTACCCTCTGGTTATGACTAACATAGCTATGGAAAATGACCCATTTATAGATGATTTAGCTATTAAAACTGCTGGTTTTCCATGGCTTTTTGATGCTTTTTGTATGTTTACCAGAGGGTAATGTTTCATATTTCACTCACCTGAGATCTGCCAGCGATGAAAAACCCCGAAAAATATACACCATGACTTCAGCGAGGTCACGAAACCACACCAGAAATGGCTGGGATCAGGACACATGAAACTGTTGTTTGAAGATTTGACTTTGTCTGAAACCAGGCTACCCCAAAATTTCATGGTCTAAAAAGTCTAAAACCATCTAAAACCCATATTTTCTTACTAGAACAGCCACTTTGACTTCATTTTCGGTTAAATCCTCATTTGAGCCATTGAACATACCCCTATCCCATCTCATGTAATACTAGTTGGTTGAAAAACCTGTTTCGCAATCCCATGGCCTATCATAATCCCCATTCAATATCATTCAATTAGATAGTCTACCCTCTGGTAATTTGTTACATAGCTATTGAAAATGGCCATACAAATAGTGAGTTTTCCCATTACAAATGGTGATTTTCCATAGTTATGTTAGTTTACCAGAGGTAAGTCCCAACAAATTCACCAATCCTTTCGTATGATTCAAAGGACTTGGGATCCTTGGGCTCCCGGTGCCTGTACTCCAGAGAGACTCAATCGCTTGAAGGCACTCACCACCTGTGCATCCAGTGGGAGAACCGGGAATCATGGGAGAACCATGGGAGAACCAAAAAAAACGCTGGAAAATCACCACTTGCATATAGGTAAATCAACTATAAATTGGAGCCATGTTCAAAAGTTTTTTGAATGTTTACCAGAGGGTAACCAGTATCTACTGAATTGTCAGTATTCACTCGAAAATTGGTGAAACTTGCGGTCATTTTGGGATGATCTCCTAATCCAATTCCCATCATGCCAGTGACGTCACGACGTGAGATCACTATATTTCAACCAGAAAATATACCCCTTGGTTGCTCCTAGGGGGGGTCCAGCCCCTGAAATAGTAGACCCCAGTGGCTGTTTTCCAGAGGGGCCTGACCCCCCCATACCCCTTTTGAGCATTTCTGAATGGATAAAATCTAGGGGCCCAAGTCTAGCATTCCTAAACCAAACATTTTTGCTAACACTCAACTTGGACAAGGGAACCAATACTTTGGAGCATTTTGGACGTTCAAAAATGATCAAAGGTCAGGCCCCTCAAAATATTTTGGGCATGTTGTGAATATTTAGGACATACATGTTTTATCTGTGAATCTTATGAAACCATGGACCTCCTGGATTTTAGCCATCGATTTTTTCTGCATGCCTCAGATAAGCTGGCCACTTTGAAAGGTTCTCAACGGAGATAAAGTTGATAAACATGTCATAACTATCTTCCCAAGAACACAATTTCTGCGCACCTTTAACGCCAGTTTTCTTAGAGAGATTCATCTATCAAGGTTAGCTGGTACAGATGTTATTTTCAGGCTTCCCCTCCAAGTTTCAAGAGCAAAGATTGGACAAGGCGAGGTGTTAGTTTCCAGGATTTGGTAGCCTTTTTTGGAATCAATTTCAGTGTGTCCTTGATGTGCAGGAGACTTTGTTCTGGATTTACTTTTAACAAATATGATAAAGGCAAACATTTCAGAACTGTCCCAAGTAAATAAACTTAGTGCAAGTTTTTTGACGCCAATTTTGCAGAGAGGTTGATATCTCAAGGTTGGGCACACAGGTTTTATTTGCTGGAACTGAAGATGGACAGGGTGAGATGCTAGTATCCAGGATTTGGTTGCGTGCTTTTTGAGATCAATTTCAATATTTGTCCTTGATGTGAAAGTTCAACAAAGAATGACGTTCAAAAGAGATAATATTGACAGGGTTTCCGTGGCGCGAAAGCTGATAAACATGCCACACGTTTCCCAAGAAAAAAAATGTGCACCTTTGGTTGATGCCTGTTTTGCAGAGGGGTTCATCTATCAAGGTTGGGGACATGGATTTTACTTCTTCTTGGTTTTTTCCTTCAAGCTTCGCCCCGCTAGGTCGAAGCAGCTATCCGGGAACAGAAGAAGCACAGGATTTGGCAGCCTTTTTGTTTGGGTCAAATTCAATATTTTCATCTCAAAGTTCAAAAACAATAAAGTTTCAAGGTGAGGAAATTTGTAACGGTGAGTTTGATAAACATGCCAGCAATGCTCAACACAATAAATTTCATGCACCTTTGTTACAGTTTGATGCCAGTTTTGCAGTGGAATTCATCCATCAAGGTTGTTTTTTTTCCCTTTCCAATCCAAGGTGTAGGTTGGACCTAAACTGAAGGGGGCTGGCATCTGAAAGTAAAATAGATACCAAGCCTCGAGTAAGATAAAAATAAAATTCAAAGGCCCAACCTTCATAACATCAAAAGGCCTAACCTCAAGCTGGGATCAGATAAAATCCAAGGGTCTCGCCCCTCTTGAATCCTCTTTGGAATCGAATGCCCTTGAGGGGCCCTGGGGGGGCCCTGGGGTCGGAGCCCTTGGAATTTATCTCACACATAGGGCCACGATAAAATCTAGCAAGTGTGCTGCTAAAATCTGGGGCCCAACCTTCAAATTTACTCAAAAAACTAAAACATATATTCTGCACCTCAGGGGCTGGAGCTCCTAAATCTCGTTGGAACTGCAATCAAAGTAGGTTGGAGCTAAAATCAAGGGGCTGAACCTTTGAAAATATAAGATAGGTACCAAATCTCAAGTAGGATGAAAATAAAATTCAATGAGCCCAACCTTCCAAAGATAAAATCAAGGTGCCTGACCTGAAATTGGAGTGAGATAAAATCCAAGGGGCTGGACCCCCCCCATGGGTCCTCCTTGGAAGCGAGTACCCTTGAGGGGACCTAGGGGGGTCCAGCCTCTTAGAATTTATCTCACACTTATGATCGAGATAAAATCTAGCATGTCTGCAGATAAAATCAAGGGACCTATCGTCATTTTTACTAAGGCTAAAAAAAAATAGCCATGCACCCCAGGGGCTGGAGCTCCTAGATCTCAGCTGGGAGCTACCAACGGGGTTAGAAAATATTGTTTTGTCCCAAAAATCACTTGGAGAAATTTCATGCCACGAAATGACCATGGCTGGATTCCCCACATCTTTAAAACAACCCCCTATGTTGCGAACAATGTGCTTCTCGGCGGAGATTATCATCTAAATTCCCCCGAAAAAATCACACGAACTTCGTTTGGGTACCCATTGTCTGTACAAAACGGGGCGTGGTGAATTCTTATCGTTCTTTCCAGGCCCAACCAGCAGATTCTTCTGGATCCGCTGATTTCGGTTTGTGAATGGAGCTATTCCCAGACTTACCCTCTGGTAATTTAACATAGCCATGGTATAGATGGCCCATAGAAATAGATGGTTTACCTATTCAAAATGGTGATTTTCCATGGCTAAGTTAAATAACCAGATGGTAGATCTTTTGAACGAAATGATTGGTACTGTGAATGGTTGAGAAATCCTGCACCAGTTGGTAGACCTGGTAGACGGTCTATCCCGTTATACAATGTTATACAGTCATCCCATCATTTACAGTGTTTCATAGTTTCCAGCATGTTTTCGCAACCATACATAGCCAGTTTTACCATTTATGGCAAGAGATTGGATTATCAAACTACCCTTCACAAGGCTTACCCCAGGTTTCATGCTTGAATCCCCATATTTTGTGAACTAAAGCTCCTCATGTTTGCTGGCTAAGCCCCCATAACCAACTATTTCAGCTATATCCCCATTGTTGCTGGCTAAATCATGCTAAATCCAAAATTTAGGGGATACATATCTATAAATCACGATAAATCCATAAATCCTGCTTATGCCATCCCATTTTTGCTGGGCGAAAAAAGCGCCCGGCAAGCCGCCTCCAGATACCCCGTGCCCACGGCAGCATGATCATGATCATCGCCGATAGATCCTGCAAACCAAGGGCAGGCTGGGTCCTTTGGGGTGCCATGAAAGAGCATGTGGATAGATATTATTATATATTTACAATATAATGTATTATATACATGTATTATAAATATTATTACATATGTATTATAATATATATATATATATTGAGGTCTGCCCCCGCCCACTAACAGTTCAAAACTGCCCCCCCTTCATAAACCACATACCAAAAAAACACAATCATATTGGTGGTACCTCAGGCCATTTTAGGGGATCCTTAGGGTCTGCTTAGGAGAAGATGTGATCTAGGTGGGCCGTACAAGTAACAAAGGGTGGAGTAGTGAATGCAACAACATCACTACCTTTGAGGTGGCATTGTTTGTGGTTAAACCATTTAAATCATTTTAACGAACATCCTTTTGTATTGCGCCATATTGTTGGAGCCATCAGGACATGTTTGCTGAACTTGTCATCAACTAGCCAAAAAATCAAAGTATCCATGTTGCTGTTGATATCCTTTGATGGTTGGAACGTTGGAATGGTTCTGGGAAGTCTGACAGCTGACATCATTTTGTTTATCTGAATATTTGTGTGTCAAATAGCAATGGCAATGGTTTGGTATGATGATGCAAGGTGTTGCATCGATATGATGATACGATATTATGACTCATGACATTCTTTACAATATTGAATGCAGCATACCTGAGATACAGAGACACTGCAATCAAACGGTCCAACCATTGTAAGTTATAAGTGAAAGCGTTACAAAGGCGTGCCTCCAACAATAGTTGTTGAGGTTCTTAATAAACATCATATGATAATTACATTTTTTTCACATTCCCGCTCCTGGCATGGGCTCACTCTTGAGAGTTTTTTTTTGGAAAGGAGGTTGGAAAAAAGGAAATGGTGTGAGACATTTGCTGGGCCGCTGGTCCGAAGGCTGTCGAGGCCAGGTGGCCTGAGATTCATTTTTTCCAAGGAAATTGTGCTTTTTTTGTGCTTTTTTCGTGCTTTTTTTTGTGCTTTTTTGTGCTTTTTTTTGTGCTTTTCCGGCGCTCCCGAGCACAAAAAAAAACACAAAAAAAGCAAAAAAAAACACAATTCATACCACAAAAAAAAGCACAAAAAAAACACAATTCATACCACAAAAAAAAGCACAAAAAAACACAATTCATACCACAAAAAAAAGCACAAAAAAAAACACAATTCATACCACAAAAAAAGCACAAAAAAACCACAATTCATACCACAAAAAAACAAAAAACCACAATTCATACCACAAAAAAAAGCAAAAAAAAACACAATTCATACCACAAAAAAAAGCACAAAAAAAAAACACAATTCATACCACAAAAAAAGCACAAAAAAAACCACAATTCATCCCACAAAAAGCACAAGAAAAACCACAATTCATACCACAAAAAAAAGCACAAAAAAAAAAAAAGCACAATTCATACCAAAAAAAAAGCACAAAAAAAACCACAAATCATGCGCGTTTCCAGCCCGTTCGCATGTGAAATTGTGAAGGGAAACTATTATCTAATTTGTTTTCAATTGCCAGAAAGCACGAAAAAAAAGCACAAAAAAAAGCACAATTCATACCACAAAAAAAAGCACAATTCATACCACAAAAAAAAGCACAAAAAAAAGCACAATTCATACCACAAAAAAAAGCACAAAAAAAAGCACAATTCATACCACAAAAAAAAGCACACAAAAAAACACAATTCATACCACAAAACAAAGCACAAAAAAAAGCACAATTCATACCACAAAAAGCACAAAAAAAAGCACAATTCATAGCACAAAAAAAAGCACAAAAAAAAACACAATTCATACCACAAAAAAAAGCACAAAAAAAAGCACAATTCATACCACAAAAAAAAGCACAAAAAAAAGCACAATTCATACCACAAAAAAAAGTACAAAAAAAAAGCACAATTCATACCACAAAAAAAAGCACAAAAAAAAGCACAATTCATACCACAAAAAAAGGCACAAAAAAAAGCACAAAAAAAAGCACAATTCATACCACAAAAAAAAGGACAAAAAAAAGCACAATTCATACCACAAAAAAAAGTACAAACAAAAACGCAATTCATACCACAAAAAAAAGCACAAAAAAAAGCACAATTCATACCACAAAAAAAGCACAAAAAAAAGCACAATTCATACCACAAAAAAAAGCACAAAAAAAAGCACAATTCATACCACAAGAAAAAGCAAAAAAAAAGCACAATTCATACCACAAAAAAAAGCACAAAAAAAAGCACAATTCATACCACAAAAAAAAGCACAAAAAAAACAAAGTCATTTTCCTTTTTTTCCTGCGCCAGTTTCTGCTTTTTTTTGTGCTTGATTTGTGCTTTTTTTCTGCTTTTTTCTTCTTTTTTTCTGCTTTTGGAAAGTCGCTGCTTTTAAAGCATTTTCAATTGGCCAGCCCGGCCCAGCTCCAGCCCCCACCTCAGCCAGCCAGCCCGCCAGGCCTCTAGTCCCCCAGCATTCCCTAGCTCCCAGGCTCCAGCCCCCAGGCTCAGCCCCCAACCCTTGCCCAGGGTCAGTCCAGCAGCCCCGGCCTTTATATGTATTGTACACACACATTCTATTGTTTTGCTATCGGCGCTGCGATGGGCAACATTCTAAACCCTAACAGCATTACTTTGCCATTGGCATTGTGGTGGGCAGCATCCTAAACCCTAACCAGCGTTGCTTTGCCATCAGCGCTGCCATGGGCAGCATCCGAAACCCTAAACAGCGTTGCTTTGCCATCACCGCTGCAATGGGCAGCATCCAAAACCCTAAACAATATTGCTTTGCAATCAGCAGCATCACTACCCACAAGGTGCTGACAAGCTGGATGCATGAGGCACCCCATTGGAAATGCCAATGTCGAATTTTGACAGCAAGGACTTCTGGGCACGGCAAGAAAATGTGCCGACCGTGGAGCCAACTTGCAGGGAACATGCCTGGTCATCTAGCCTTAATAAGGGGAAATGAAAGTCATATTGGGGACTACAACCTGATTTTTTTTGTGCTTTTTTTTGTGGTATGAATTGTGGTCACTGTTAGTGTCACGAGGCAGAGCCCAATATATATATATATAATTACATGTATTATACATGTGTATATAATGGGATTTGATGGGGTTTGATTCCTTGGACATGGTGGATTCATGAGGATGCAGAACCATTTATGCTCTATTCGTCCTGGTTATGTGCGTTTGTTTGAACATAGGGTAAACGATAAAACAGACCCAGTATGTCTATTGAAGCCCATTAAACTCCATCATCATTGAACCCCATTAATCACCATGAAACCCCATTCAACACTCTTAAATCCCATTAAAACAGGAGTTTTTACACCATTCATGCCACATAATGCTACTACTAAACCCCATGAAACCCCCATTCAACCCCCATGAAACGCCGGAACTTCAACGCACCTGTGTCCGGGGAGAACTCCGTGGAGATTGCAATCTGGGAGCCGTTGCTCTCCTGGCTGGGCAATCCGCCAGAAAATGGCTGGGTGGTGGTTGAGCCCTACCCCTCTGAAAAATAGGACTTCATCACAGTTGGGATGATGAAATTCCCAACTACATGGAAAGTCATAAAATTCCATGGTTCCAAACCACCAACCAGATGGGAAAAAACATGGGAAACACATGGGAAAATACGGGAACATATGGGAAAATCAGAGAGAAAATGATAGGAAATCCATGGATTTTCACCAGCCAAATCGCTCGAGGTAGCCTTTTCGCTGGGATTAGCTTGGAAAATCCATTGGGAAAATGATGGGAAAATCCATGATCCATTATCAATAGAAGTTTGAGTGGGAAAAAAACATCGAACTACATGGTGGATTTTCCATCAGGCCACCATTGAAAAAAACGATAGTTTTACCTCAACGACTCACATAGACAAAATGGGTCCAGGTCAAAATTGCAAGTCAAAAATTTAAGATCCCGAAAACCAAGAAATATTGACTATAAGGATCTATATATAAGGTATCAAATTCACCAAATTGATCCAAAAATGTAGACATTGGGATGGTTTCTGGCATTGGGTTTAAATGTCAACTCTAATTTAATGAGCTCTGTTGCTCAATTCGGGGCTTGCCCCCAGAACAGTGATACATCACTACAGTATTGAAGTTGAAGTGGACTGAGGGTTTATTAATTCGGGGTTAAATCGACATAATTCATAATTATAAGACCCTATTGTTGTGGGATTAAAATCCAATTTGAATCCCATTGAACTAGAATCCCACAAATCCCAAGAGTTTCATTTTAATCGTGGGTTAACTAGGCCTTTTATGTCTATTCTACCACTATTTTTGGTGGTAAACTCCCAATTATCCCATTCATGTATACAACTCAATAATAAACCACCACCCAAAGTCACCATAAATCATTGCCAGTCAGGTTTAGTATTGGGTTTCCAATGGGTTTCCCACATTACCCTCCAGAAAATTCACATACACCCTGCCAGATAGGGGTTGGACGATTAGTTTCCACTAACAATTAAGGTGATTTCAGGGTCGAACTGTTCATTTAGAGGGTAAACATAGCTATGGTTAAAGTTTCCAGAGATCATCAACCTATCATTTCAATGATGATTTTCCATGTTAAATTTACCAGAGGGTTCATATTCGGACTGTTAATTTATGAGAGGGTAAACATGGTTTTAATGCGATATATCATAGTATATCATAATTATCATAATCATATAGGTACCCTCTGGTTATTTAACATAGCCATGGGAAATGGCCCAGTTATAGATGGTTCACCTATGAAAAATTGTGATTTTCCATGGCTATGTTAAATAACCAGATGGTAAATATAGGTAATATCCATCCCACTGCCACCAAATAAACCAAGCATCCTCGCCATTCTCCTCCGCAGGCTCGGGCACCAGGTCTGGAACGCTATGCCGCCGGAACTGCGAGGCATCCGTGGGCGTGCCGGTCCTAGGGGAGCCGGGAGGGTTGGGGAAAGTGAGATTATGATCAAGCCAATTCAAACCAAAATCCGCTGGAGATGTGTATATATATATAAGATGATACACAAAGGTATTAAATATATAAATAATTATATAGACATATTACATATATATATATACATATTCACTGGTAGGACAAAAGTTGCGTTTGTTGAGTTTCCAACAGTAAACATAATTGTTTTGTTCTTCTGCACACCCTTTCCCCTTAGAATCCTAGGATGGAGTTTTGTTGTACCCCAGTCGAATTTCCAAAAAGCTTTTTAGCATGGAGTTTTGTCGTACCCCGGTCGAATTTCCACCCTTCCAGCTTCCAAAAACTTTTTAACATGGAGCTTTGTTGTAGCCCGGTCGAATTTCCATCCTCCAAAACCTTTTTAGCATGGAACTTTGTTGTACCCCAGTCGAATTTCCAGCCTCCAAAAGCTTTGTAGCATGGAGCTTTGTTGTACCCCAGTCGAATTTCCAGCCTCCAAAAACTTGTTAGCATGGACCTTGTCGTACCCCGGTCGCATTTCCACCCTCCAAAAGCTTTTCATCTACAAGTTTTAAAAGCGGGTGATAATTGACCGTCACACACCTGCCACACGAAATGGGCTTGGAAGTGTGATCCGCGGTTGACCGACATCGATGCCTTCTCAAGCTTTCAAGAAGCATAAACTTTGTTCCTCCTGAAGTATATATATATTATAGTTATTTACTTATATATGCAAATACACATAATTATACATATATATATATATATTTATTTATTTATATATTTATTTATTTATTTATTTATATTATATATAATTATAATATATAATTATATATATATATTTATATATATTTATATATATTTATATATATTATATATAATTATATATATATAATATAATATATATAATATATATATATAATATATATAATATATTTACATACATACATACATACATACATATATATATATGCGTATATACCGTCCACAAGGCAGGAAAAAAAGTCGATTTGCTTTTCTGCAATGTTCCAAGATTTAGGGTCAATCTGAATCTGCAATGCTCCATTTTTTTTTTGCAATGTTTGGATTTTTTCTGCAGTGTTTTTTCTCCCCCATCATGCCACGCAGGCTAAACCCCCAGTAGCAGCACGATCTCTATGACATCAACCTCTTAGCTGACTCAAATAGAGGCCTAAAGCCTTCTGGATTGCGCAGGTGCTAGCAATTATAGCATGGCAGTTTCTGCTCAACCTAGAGCATCTGTCAATAAAATCTTCATCCTGCCAACATCCCCAACCTTAGTGCAGTGATGGATGGATAACTGGAACCTTTTTGCATTTTGCTATTGACATCTAACCCTCACCTGAATTTGCCCTTCATTAGCAAAGATTTTTGAGCCAGCTAATGAAAGGTACATAATACAAACGCAGCGTTGTTGCCAATGGTACCCTGTGTGGGGTGATTTTTGCGGAATTTTGCGCCCGTTTTGCGGGGTGTATTTGTTGATTTCGGATTTCAGGCACCACGCTTAACCATATGTCGTGCCTTTAAATCTGTCGAGAATTCAAACAATCAAAGTCAAAGTCATCGCTTGAGCAGCAACAATGGCCTACCCTTTCCAAAGACGAATGCTTTATTTCGCCAAACTGGGTGCACGATTTGGCAGAAAGGCCTTCCACTCCGAAAAGAAGTGTGTGATCTTGTCACATTGTCAAATTTACAGGTAAAGCCCTTTACCAGTTATAAATGTTTATTTCCATGGGGTTATAGACTCCATAAATGGGGCTATAACTTACTGATCGAAGGAAGTTTAGAAGTCAAACTTCCGACAATATGGATAGATGAGAGATGGGAAGAGTCAGAGAAGAGAAGAGAAGAAGAAAGAAGATCAAAAAAGAGAAAGTCTCAGAAGATAGAAGATCCAGGTGCGCGAAAAGGTAGGGAAGTCGCGAAACACTGTGTTGTTCCAATGATTTGTGGCCCCGGAGGATGGAAAAGTAGGCTCGCTAAAGCGGCGGGTGCGGAGCTATGTGGCCAGATGAGAGATGCAAAGTTGTGGCGCGAAGCACGTTTCCAAGTCAAAATGTACAAAACACACCAGGGTCGGACCACTTTTGGAAGTTGAGATGTGGAAAAAGTGCGCGGCATTGTCGGGCGAAGCACATTTCGAAGTCAAAATGTGCAAACACACACCATGTTCGGACCACTTTTGGAAGTTGTGATGTCGAAAAAGTGCACGCCGTTGTGGCGCGAAGCACATTTCCCAGTCAAAATGTACAAAGCACACCAGGTCCGGACCACTTTTGGAAGTTGCGATGTCGAAAAAGTGCACGCCATTGTGGCGCGAAGCACATTTCGAAGCCAAAATGTGAAAAACACCACATGCTCGGACCACTTTTGGACATTCA